CCCTAAAACTCTAAAACCCTAAACCGACTTTCTGGCTCAGCTCTTCGGCTCTAGGCGCTTTAGGGTGTGCTGAGGGTGTAGGGTTTAGGATTTAGGCTTTTTAGGGATTTAGGTTTTTTTCTGCTTTTTAGGGATGGTTTTTTTTTTAGAGCTCTTCTGCGTCTGCACGAAGCTTTTGGCCTACGCAAGCCAACATGAAGGCGAGACAGTTCAGCCCTCTTTCATAACTCCACTTACAGGGAGAATGGGGGTTTGGGGTTTAGGCTTTCGGGTATCGGGTTTAGGGATTCGGAATTAAGCTTTCGGCTTTAGGGTTTAGGGTTTAGGCTTTAGGGTTTACTCTGTGGCTGTTGCTGAGTTAGTTGATAGGGGTTTTGGATTGTTGAGGGTTTTGAGGTTACGGGTGTAGGGTCTAGGGTAGCATTCTAATCGTATCAATAATGGAAATAAGGGGAACAAGGCTGGTAGTTGCAACAACAAGAATACGAACCAGAACAAGATTACGAACAAGAACATGATTATAAGTATCAGTAAGACGAAGAAATAGCAATACGAATTTTAATAAGAATGAAATCACAACAATGCTGATAAGAATAATGCTGATGATGGTGATGATGGTGATGATGATGATGATGATGGTGATGATGATGATGATGACGATGACGATGACGATGACGATGACGATGATGATGGTGATGATGATGATGATGATGATCATAATGATGGTTGTGGTAACGGTGCAAGTAATAATAGAGTCATGGTAATATTACCTGTAATATGCACTGTCACCATAACACAGGAATTAGGAGTCGTCGTCGCAGGAGTCGTAACGGTAGTAGTTGTAGCACGAGAACACATATTACTCGTAAAGTCGTTGTTGCTGCAGTAGAAGTAGAAGTAGAAGTAGAAGTAGAATTAGAAGTAGAAGTAGAAGTAGAAGTAGAAGTAGAAGTAGAAGTAGAAGTAGAAGTACAAGTAGAGGTAGAAGTAGAAGTAGAAGTAGAAGTAGAAGTAGAAGTAGATGGAAGTAAAAGTAAAAGTAGAAGTAGAAGTAGAAGTAGAAGTAAAAGAAGTAGTAGTAGTAGTAGTCGTCGTCGTAGAAGGGGAAGTAGCGGTAGCGATAGAAGTAGGGGTCGTGGTAGCGCTAGCGCTAGTGAGCTGGCTAGTGCAGTGCTAGTGCTAGTGCCCCTGCCAGCGCCAGTGCCAGTGCTTGTTCTAGTGGCCGTGGCCGTGGCGGTGGCGGTGGTAGTGGCAGTGGCAGTAGTAGCAGACGTAGTAGTAGCAGCAACAGTAGTATACCTTCTTCTTGTGCTCTGTTCCCATCCACTTGCTGCTTTATGCTTTCCCTGTCTCCTTACCTGCAATTATAGCAAAATTTACGCCGTCAAGCAATTTCAACAAGTACTCTTGCAAGCCACTCGTCACAGCCCCATTCCGTGTGAGCCCTGTTGCCACTGGTAGAATAGGGAGCTAAGGCTTTAGGGCTTGGGGAAAAGAGTTTTGCGACTGAGGGCTTCGGGCTTGAGGTTTGGCTTAGGGTTTAAAGCCTACGTACTTCTCGGAACAACGCAAGGTACCTACATCGATGGCAGCTGGCGACAAAAGCTTCAATTTCGACCCTCAACCCAGGCGTTCAGGATCCCCAAGCCCCAAACACGAGCACTTCAAACCCTGGCTTGCCAAGGGCCTAAACCCTAGACCCTGAAGCCTTACACACAAAGCCGTACACATTCCCCCTAAAAACCGAAATACAACATTATAAGTGCCTATCCCACAGCCAAAATCCAGACAACATCCTGCCAAACAGCATAGAAGCCACTTGAACAAGACTTTCCTTTAACAACCCTAACCCCCAAACCTAAAATCTTTAACCCCTAAACCCCTGAACCCCCTGAACCCTAAACCCAAAGCCCCAAACTCTGAAGCCCTCATCCCTATAAGCCCCATAAACCATATAACCCCTGGCAGCCCCATAAACCCTACAAGCCCTATAAACCTA